TAGCCGCAAGTGGACAAGGTCATAGGAATATGTAGGGATTCTAGGCTGATCCCTCTTTTAACTCTGCCTCAAGGTTCTGTCACCTCTCCTTGTGCACAAGCACCTGAATTCTTTCATAAATACTATATTTTTGGATTATAAGACACACCTTTCCCCGCCAAAAAAGAGCGTGGAAATGTTGGTGCATCTTATACACCAAATACAGCCATTTTTGGCCTCCAGAGGCATGCCCCAGCATCTCATTTTTGTGAAAAGCAGGCGATAAATGGGCTGTTTTTCACAAAAACTGATGTGTTTTTGCCTTCCCCTAGCCCCCAGAAGTACTCTGCAGGCTTCACCAGGGCTGGGGGAAGGCAAAAATGCCCCCATTTTTTTGCAAAAAATGGGCAACAAATGGGCCATCTTTCACAGATGTGTTTTTGCCTTCCCCCAGCTCCCAGAAGAACTCTGCAGGATTCAGCCGGGGGAAGGCAAAAGTGTCCCTGTTTTTGTGAAAAGTGGCCCATTTTCCACCTGTTTTTCACAAAAACAGGGGTGTTTTTGCCTTTCCTCAGCCCTGCTGAAGCTCCTGGGGGCCAGGGAGGACATTTTTTTTTTAATATTACTTACATCTTCAAAACCTTGGTGGGTCTTATACACTGATGTGTCTTATAGTCTGAAAAATACCATATATCATTGAAGAAAGTGGAATTAGAAAAATCAGAATCTGCAAAAAGGAAGCCTTAGAAAAATGCTACATGGATTTTTGCATGATTTATATTAACCCAATACTCATTCTAAACAGTATGCTTGCTATTATACTATTTGTATAACACAGCATTAGAGATATACCATCCATGTATAAGAATAATAAATAGAATACACAGGGAAATATCTACTATACTGTATATATTGGGAGAGCACACAATAGAGGAATTAAAGGGGAAAAAACCAAAGAAAAAAATCACCCCCTGGCAGAGAATCCCAAAGGGGGTTTTCAGAAGGCAACTGGATTTTCTTAGGGTTTTTTTTTATTGACAATGTTTCATTTCATATCCAAGAACCTCCTTCACTATTCAGAACTGAAGAAGCTTCTTGGATGAGAAATGAAACAATTTTTAAGGAAAAAAAAACCTAAGAAAATCCAGTTGCCTTTTGAAAATACCTTTGACACAACCATGGCCTGGATGATTGAAAATTGAGCAGGGAGAAAAATAGAAGTAGCTGCGGGATAGAAGGCTGTATATAGACAAAGAAATACAAAAAAAGAAGAAGAAGAAAACTGAAAGTGGAGCTTTCGCCATCAGAGGTAGCTATTCCTTTCCATATTTTCTCCTCTTGGCAGGAATACAGAAGAAGAAAGGCCCAAAATGTAAAGAAAAGAAAAGAAAAGAATCAAGGTAATTCTTCTGCATCAGAAGAATCCCAAACCCTTAGGATTTGTTCTTTGCCGCAAGCACTTTCCCACACTTTCTCTTTTGCTCTGCTCTATATCTCCAAAGTCAAATGTTTAGATGAAGTCTTGGCTGGCCAAGATACCGATAGGTATGATCCAGTAGAAGCATGAAGCATGAACCTTGACATTTCTCCATCCTGGTTTGAATAGCATGGAACATCTACGGCAATTTCAGAATGAGAATGTCTTGAATTTTATTTCTGAAATTGCAAAATTACATAATTTGGAAAGTGATTATTGAATTAACAGCAAAAACTTTCAACGTGTTGATTTCTGACTGTCACAACAGCAACTCATGACTAAAAGGTATCTTGAAAGTTTAGGAAACATTTAAATGCCCTGCAGTATAAGTCAATGTCTCTTCTCCTTTTCCAAATTTGATTGTCAACCAGAGTGAGGGAAAATAATTATACAATTTATGCATAATAGGGATTAGTATGATTGGTCCCTTCAAAGTATGTTTATAGGAGCAGGGATAAGAATTTTGATATCTTTTTTCACTGGGAAAGATTATAAGCATGTAATTAACCAGCTCACTGCAATCAAGGCAATTTTGGACATTACAGTCTTTGTCAGAATACTAAATAGTAAGTAGTTGATGGGAGTCAACCTTTATATAATGTATTCCTTTTTTGTGATAGTACAAAGAAAATGGTTTGGTTTTGATCATCAAAACCAACCATGGACATTAGAAAAATTCTGTTTGATCAAGCATCCACCTAATTTAATATATTGATTTTTATGGAGCTCAACAACTTATCCATTGGAAAACCACCAGTAGAAATTAGAGACTTTGGTTCCACTTGCTATTGCCTTGCAATTGCATCTGCTATTGCCCGACATAGTCCTTATGAATACAGACATTCCTTTTAGTCACAATGACATGTAGCTATAGATAATTCCATCCCCATGGATTTGATTAATCCCCCTCTAAATCCTTCTGAACTGGTAGCTGCCACTACATCTTGTGGCCACACATTTCCCAAATTAACTCTGTATGCTTTAGAAATAAGTGCTTCTCCACCAAAGTCTAAGCAGTAATTTGAAACAAAGACTGAATTTTAATGACTATGATATAATATAATACCATTTGTTTTAAATATGGAGAGTCAATATGGAACTTTCATCTATTAAACTTTCTCCTATTCAAGATATTGCATTACGGGACTTCCTGGGAGGAGCTTACTGGTGGGGGCAGCAAAAANTCACGAACCAATTAAGCGAACTAATTGTCTCCTGCAAACTCCACTCCCCTTTCACTCCTCCTTACATTTCCTCTGGGAGGGGTCAATCATCGTCCCCCTGTGGCCTTACTCCCAAGTCTACCCTTGTTCCTTAGCTGTTTTCATACTTAACAAATTGTCATGTGTTCAGAATTTGAGCGTTTGACATCTGACATGTATTTATGGCAGTTGCAGTGTCCCAGGGTCATGTGATCACCATTTGTAACTTTCCCAGCTGGCTTCCAACAAACAAAGCAAATGGAGAAAGCCAGATTCACTTAACAACTGCACAATTCACTCACAACTGCAGTGATTCACTTAACAGTTGGCAAAAATGTCACTTAATTCACTTAATAACTGTCTTGCTTAGCAATAGACATTTAGGCTCCCATTGTGGTCGTAGGTCAAGGACTACCTGCACTGAATGTTGTGGGACTAAGTAATAAGAAATAAACTAAGTAGAGAGGCTTCTACCATAGTTATGATTGTTTGCACATAAAGGAAGTCATGGTCACCTCTAGCCTAACTGTCATTAAATGGACTACGAATATGACTTATTTATTCTTAGTTTTAGCGTGCATGTATTTGATGTGGACACACAGGTGACATAAACTTTAACTGTGTGGTGGCCTTGGTGTTTTCTGAACTTGGTTATATGCTTACAAGCATTTCATTACCCACCAAAGTAACATCTTCAGTATGAGTGGATGTGGGATTGTTCCCTGTTCATATTTAATAGTTTGCTCTTCCAGTTTGGGGTAGAAATGTGATTTTTTTTCTCCTTAGTTCTTTAATTATGGCATTATTTTCTGCTTCATTGTTTGCTTGGCATTAATCTATGCTTATCTGGGTACTGGGTGCTGGAAAGGTATGCTTTTTTGTTTCCTTCTTAATTTTTTATAAGTTATTTGGCTAACATAATTGAAAAAATTTCAAAAGAAGCTTTAATATCTCATCCTATTATACTGCCCACAGAAAACCAAAGACCTAAAAATAGAAGATGAAATTATGGTTTCATTTTATGTTATAGCACTCTTAATGTCTGTGGAAGTGTCCTTGGTTCCCAGGAGATAGTATTTTGTTTTGGCTACAAAACCCCATCTATCTCTATTTCCCCCTCCCTATCCCTCAGTTCCAACATGGCAACACTAAAGCCTCAAAATGGCTCTGGCCAGGTCAGATTCAGGGTTGACATCAGGACTCATATAGAGGCCATAATATAGCTTCTAAAAACTATACTAGTCCCACACATACAACTACCATGTTTGCCCATAAATAAGACAGGGCCTTATTTTCTTTTGACCTCTGAAATATGCCTTTGGCCTTATTATTGGGGGAGGGGGCTTATTATTTTGGAGCCAGGCTCTTTGGGAACCCGTTCGTAAGAGAGAAGCCGCCCGGCAACTCCCCTCTCCGGCCTGGCAGAATGTCACTCACCGATCCAGCAGTATCCTAAAGGCACCAAGTCATATGAGATAGGGGGGCAGGAAGGGGGACCGGCACTTGCACGGCTTGGCACCTTTGGGATACTGCTGGATTGGTGAGTGTCTCTCTGCCTGGCTGGGGGAGGAGGTTGTGCAAGCACCTGTTTCCCCCTGTTTGTGCACCTCCCAGTCCTGACCACGACCTGGGCCAGCTCTCTCTGCAGTGCCAGGGCCGCCACCATCATCCCAACACTGAGGATGGCTTCTTCTGAGAAGCCGTTCGGGCCAGCTGCCTGCTGCCGAGTCTTTCAGGAACCAGGGCAGAGTCTTCCAGCAGTGGCACTTCCCATTCTATGGTTGTGGCTGCTCAGACTCAGCATGAGGCAGCTAGCCCGACTGGCCCTGACCCTGCAGGGAGAGCTGGCCCAGGTCGTGGTGAGGACTGGGAGGCACGTGTGCAGGGTTGGAATAGGCACTCGTGCAACTCCCCCTACGGCCAGGCAGAGGGCCACTCACCAACCCAGCAGTATCCTGAAGGCGCCAAGCCATGCAAGCGCTGGTCCCCTGGTGCCTTCGGGATACCGCTGAGTCGGTTAGTGGCACTCTGCCCGGCCGGAAATGGGGGGTTGTCCATTGGGCTTATTTGGAGGGGAGAGCTTATATTTTTACCCCAAAAATCTGGCATGGCTTTATTTTCAGGACATATCATATTTTCGGAGAAACATGATAAAAGTATGGCACCAAGGACTGCAGAGTTTAATCTTGAGTTACATATATTCTCTTCTATTGAAACTCTTTAGTTTATGCTGGCATCATCTTTTCCTTTTTGTAATTTGAACAAAATCCTCGTTGTTTGTTTACAGTCTGATCCCATTATCAGTGCATTTTTTGAATACATGCCTGGTTTATCTCCTACAGGTACTGGTGTCACTGTAAATGCTTTGCATCCAGGTACAGTTTTTTCTGAACTTGTTCGTCACTCCTTTACACTAAAAGTTTTGTGGAACATATTTGCTATCTTCGTGAAGACACCTTGGCAAGGAGCTCAGACCAGCATATATTGTGCAGTGACAGAGGAACTGGAGACAGTCAGTGGAAAGTATTTCAGGTGGGTTGATGTGGAATGACTGGCATTGGGATGTGGTGAGAGAGAACAAAGCTTGACTCCAAACTTAGGAGAAAACATTGTTTTGGTTTTGCTGTAACCATCTGGTCACCATATAAGGCTTGGGATGGGGAAAGAAGCTTTGGATAACCACTTCAAAATAAACCAGGATACAAGCAGGAGTTATAATTCCTATTGGCCTTATTTTGAAGCATCAGTGAGGCTGTCCCATGGACTAAGTGCAAACATTGGGTATGGGACTTATCAAGCCTTTAATAATGAGTTACTGATGCGTTCTTGTACCTTTAATAAGTAGAGAAATCATTCAGAAAGAATAAATCTCACCTGCTGATTCTAGCCTAACAGCACTAGTTGTCTGAGATGAAAAAAGTTACAAACTACTGCTTTAAAGGATTAGAAATCTGAATCTAGTCCCACTGCATAGAAATTCATGGTGACATCAGCCTCAATGGCTCCCTTAGCTAGTGCTAAGGATAAAGACCCATAGTTATGTATGTGATATCCACATAGCAGCCACTCCAGTTGAGTATGTGTTCCGCGGAGCTATGGACATGTGTTCTTCTAAAATCTGCCAGGATACTTGTGTAAAAGGAGATCCTGTAGTCTAAATTGTATCTTGATGCATTAAATCAATGATGGCATTGTACAAGGAATGTGCAAAAGATTCTGGGTTTCCACAGATCAGTTATTTTACAGGTGGTCCATTCTTGAAACATGTATAATATGAACAAACAAGGTTGCTCTGGATACAGAATGAAATATGATTGTTTTGGGTGATTAAAAGAGTAGAACAAAGCCAAGGCAGTGGGAGTGGCTAAGGAGATGCAGGGAAAGGAGTGAAGATGAGGGGAAGAGGGGAGAATGTTGTGGGGAGAGGGCAGTACAAATGCATGAGCTGTGAAGTTCCCAGAAGATGATCTAATTAATTTACGAGCCTCGAGAAAAGTTCAAAAGAAATCCATTCATTTATTAGGATCAACATTCTGGCGTGTACTCTTGCAGAGCCAAAGCTGATTTACACTAAATGGTGCCTGAACTTTACCCATGTCCTCTCCCCTCTGCCTTGATCATAACTCACATTCACCAACAAGATGCTATGGCAGGTTATGGACATGCGCATTTACATTCTAATTACAAGAATATGAGACCTGACTCTAGCCAAAAGTATGCATGGAATTCCCCTCCCGTCTCTATGCCACTTGATAGTATTCATGGCAACACTTTACAAGTTGACATGAGCCTTACTGGTTTGGTGTGTGGGGAGAGGTCTTTACTCCTGGCAACTGCCTGGACAAGTCCTGCATTTTTCTTGGCAAGATTTCCAGAAGTAGTTTGCCATTTCCTTCTTACTAGGGTTGAAAGAGAATAACTGGCCAAAGTCACCTAGTGTTGTGATCCACCAGTGGCCAGTGAAGTTGGCAGCAGATTTAGACAGTGAGGCGGTTGGAGAGGAACATGAGCCAGTTCTGGAGTGAGGCGGTTGGGGAGGAACATGAGCCAGTTCTGGAGTG